TTTTTTTTTTTCAGTGGCCCTAATCCTCTTCCGTACATAAACCAGACTAAATGTGAGATTAAATGTGTAATTTAGTCTGGCCCCGATGAAGATTGTATGAGAGTTATGGCAGGCCGTTTTGACATTTATTAGAAGCACCATCCTCTCTATTGTTCCATTTGTTGATCTCTAAAATAAAATTCTTCCTAGTGAAAACCACATTCCTACTCGCCAGAATTGTACATATAGTCATCCTCAATTATAATTTTGCTAGCAATAATTACATTTCAGGCTGCCAAAAATATAATTGTACTAGAAATAAAAAACGTTCAAATACCTAGAGACCTTTACAAATTTAAATTGGCCCTTTTGACATTTATTAGCTTGACTGAATATATATTTAAGCTGTTTCAAATGCATTTCTTCCTAGTGAAAATGAACATTTCAGATATCTAAAAATAACTATATCAATAGTTGATATCTGTAATCATATTTCTACTAGTAGAAATATATTTTAGACGTCACTAATTGTGTTTCTAGGTCTCTGTAATGTTGTATTCATTTTTGATATCAGAAATAGTAATTTTGACTAGCATTAACTCTATTATGGAGATCTGAAATTAGAATTCATCTTCGTCAGAATTCATTTTTGGATAGGAAGAATCTTTATTTTAGAGATCTGGAAGTAAAAGCCCAATACACATGAATGGGAAATGTGACGTCATTTATGCTAGTAAGAATTACATTTCAGCTATCTGAAATGTTTATTTTAGATAGGAGGAATGTTATTTTAGATATCTGAAATGTTCATTTTGACTAGGAAGAAATGCATTTGGGCCATCTAGAACGTATATTCAGTCCGCTAATAAATGTCAAAATGGCCTGCCATACGGCGCAACTGACTGTGACGTAGTAAGCGCGGCAGAAAGCTGGTGGGGGAGTTTAAACGGCCAGGGCGTGACGTGAGCAGTGGATTATTATTGTTGAGATCATGGAGTTGGATGATTGTTGTCGTTTGTGCAAAAAAGTCATGCGGAGAGACGGTATGCTACACCACTGTACACAACTTTTCCAGAGTTTAAGTAAACCGCTGTCAGTGGCAGAAAGATTACAGAAAGTTGGAGTGAAGGTTTCGATCACACCGGGGAAATCCAAACGAGTCTGTCGAACTTGTACGTCGGTGCTGAATAGACTGGAAAAAGATCTGCCGAATTATTGGAGGTGGATTGAAAACGAAGAGGAAGCAGAACGAACAGCTGCTGAAAGGAGAGTTATGGAGCCTACTGCCCCCAGAACACCGACAGACTCCAACAAGCTCCGCCACAACACAGAGGAGCCGAGGAGGTCTGCCGCTCCTCCGCGGGATATAGCCGAGGTTAGTTATTATTAGTATAGAATTACGACCTGTGACGGCAAATCTATCTGCTTAACTCTCTAACACAGTCGGGCACGTCACTACCCGATCCGTCCCGGAAGCGCCATTCGTTCTGCGCATGCGCCATTAGCTCATTCTTCTTCTGAGGTTTTATGGCGGTTGGCAAACTAGCTAAAAGTGCATTACCGCCGCCAACCGATAAGGAGTTAAAGGAATAGTA